AAATCAAGGGGGAAGCAACATTTTTCGGGTTTGACTTTGACTTCCCCAGCTCGATCGAGTTGAAGCTTGGCCGGTCGAGTTGAGGAACTCGGTTGGTCGAGTGGACGGTCGAGCTGGTCTTCAAGATGGCTTCTCCCTTCTTCCTTTGCGTATCCAGTTGAGCTGCTTCCATGTGCCAAGTCCCTCCATGCTCCTTGTCCCATATGCTCCAGAATGCTCCAAAAGACCTATTTCAAAGGACCAAACATGCATATGTATGCAAATGCAACCTAAAACTAACATGAATGCATAAGAAGAGAAAAGGAACAAGATATGATGCAAATGGAAGCTAAAACTATGCAAAAGATGCATAAAAGATGTGCTAAAACTATGTAAAATGCAAGTACATCAACACCCCCAAACTTGAACTTTGCTTGCCCTCAAGCAAACAAATAGAACAAGAAAGAGATGAGGTTTGAAAATAGCTGATTCAACACTTAAAAACATGTCCTCAAAAGCGATTTGCTAAATGTCCAACTTAGAGATTCTAGAATGCAACAAGGTGAGAGATATTCATTAAGATTTAACCATGCTTATCAACATCAATCCCACTTCACAGTCACTCAAACAATGCATTCAAATCAGCAAATCCCTTTAACATTCATTAAGCAAAAACAGTGAACCAAAAACATGCAAGATCAATCAACTCATTTGGTTTCAAGGGTTTATGGGTTAAGAGACAAAGAGGGTCTCTTTTGTATGGTGGTTTAGTAACAGGGATCTCTCAAGAAAGTGGCTTTGCTTTGGCAGAAGGCTAAGTGTTAGAACCAAAGATGATGCAAGAACAGCAGCTCGAGCCGCCTAATCCTAACTCGATCGAGTTCAACACTTAGAGCTTTTTAGAACAAAATCCTAACTACCCTTTTTGGCATTTCGCCTTTGAAACTGAGGAGCTTTGCTCACTTTTCTTTTAAGAACTTCCTAGGGAGAGGCTTCTTGAGGTAACATCTAGCGGTTTGGGATTTTCTAAACACTTAGGGAACTTTTCTTTCCTTTTTGACACTTGAGGCTTTGCCTTCTTTTCATTCTACTTAGAACCCTTTTTACTTTCCTTTTTTAACTTCCCAAACCTTTACTAGACCCTTTTAAACACTGCCAACTCCCTGGACTTAACCAAACTCTTTTTCCTTTGGGTTTTTCCCAACTTTTACCACTTTTCTGGTTTTTACACCCAACTCGATCGAGCTCGAGTTGGCACCCCCAAACTTAGCCTGAAAACAATCCCAAGAGAACTAGACAACTAGAACTACTGCCCCTGCCGGTTTAAACACAACACCTTATGCTAAGCAAAGCCAAGAAAGGTTCTCACATTCGCACAAGAGATAATAAGGGGTTTGAAATGAAAAAGGCTTAGGTTTAAGGTGTGGTAACTGTCTCAAAGATAGAGATCAGCTATCTGGACAAGCAAAGGGATATGAAAATGGTAAAGAATGTCCAGATATGTATGTGGTAGCCATGAGTTGAAATCAAATGCAAGCATTGGTAATTAAAGATCAAGTTATGGTTCAAATAGATAGGGAAATGCATCAAATCACAGCAATGGTTGAATGAGATGTGCATGCAGCGATATGATCAAGATAAACATGGTTCTTGCTGCTCAATCAATCTCACCCTAATGCACAAAAGAATCTAAAAACAGGGCACTCAAGAAATCGCAAAAGATGGACAAGTTTTCAAAGTCAAATCAACAATGCAAGTGAAAAATGCAATCCTAAACAAGTCTAACAAATATGAATGCAAAAAGATGAAAATATTTTTGGATTTTTTGAAAATTTTATGATTTTTTTGGTTTTTCTATGCAAAAGATAAATGAAAAACTAAGAACAAAGAAAACAAGGTTAAATCATCTCTTGAACCCTCCCCCAAACTTAAATCACACAGTCCCTTGTGTGAGAAAAATTCAGTGAAAGATTCAAGAGGGCAAAACCAAGAAAAAACAAGAACAAATGCAAGAAAATATGAAATGGTATATACAAGGGTTGGTGTTTGGATACCTCAGTGTCCCCCAAAGAACTGGGAGACTAGGTCGTGGTCTGGAGATGGGAGACGGCCATCAGGAGCACTCCATGCAACTGGGTTGCCTCTTGGGCTCACTCGATCGAGCTTGTGGCTCCTCTTCCTCCTCTTCTTCATCGTTGAAATGTGTGTGGCTTCCTTGGCCTTGGTGGAGCATTGGTAGCTCGTACTGTCCATAGGGGTTCCATCTACTCCGGGGAGGCTCCTGGTAAGGCATGGGATCGTATTCAAATCCCGGATCTCGAACTGGGGCTCCTCCTGGTCAGCTCGACCGTCAGCTCGATCGAGTTGAGTTTCCTCTGTTTGGACTCGATCGAGTCCGGTGGTCGAGCTGGAGCGTCTGGCCTTGGAAGTCTTCCTCCTTCTCTGCGTGTTGTCTTCTCCTTCCCTTGGCTCGAAAGAAGAGGCTCTGTGAGGCTCTTGGGCAGGGAGCCTCCTTGGGTGGTGAGGAGTGATCTACTCCTAGGGAAAGTGGGGGCCTTGGACTTCTTCTTGCTTGAAGAACCAGAAACCTTCTTCTCCAAACTTTTGATCTTGCTCACCATCTTGTCCATGGACTTTTGCATCTTCTCAATGGCTTTCCCTTGCCATTTGTTGAACTTTTGGAGAAGTCCAATCCTCTTGTGTGCAGCCACAACAGAGGGGTTCATCCTTGGAGCCTCATACTCCTCAAAGTAATAGCACTCAGGCTCACCCAAATCCGCACTCTCCTGGACCTGATCTTCAGCTCGATCCTCAGCTCGACTCAGCTCGATCTCAGCTCGATCGAGCTCAGGCTCCTCTTCTCGCATCATCCTCATGCCCAACTAATGTGTACACAGGGGGTCTGAAGTCAATGTTCTCACCCCTTACTACTGTGGTGAGCTCTGGGTTGGGCAGGAGAAGCTTGGAGGGTCCAGCCAATGGATGTGTGAACTTGAATTGGAATCTCCCATCCAACTCCTTGTGCTCAATGAGAGGTTGGTCTTGCAAAACTTGATGTCCATCCAACCTGGTTCAGTGGCTCTCTATCAGTTGGGTTCACTCCAGCAGCACACAAGATAGGTGTGATGAGCCCTCCAACACTTAAGCCTTCCTCTTTGATGCCTAGTGTTGTAAGCTGTGATCTTGTAGGTGGAGCTGGTCAAGGAAAGGCATCAAGTTCCCTGTGTCAGATCTATCTCCCCTGATCCTCTTGCCATCGCTTGTGCGTGAGAGATGGGCTTGATTCCCATGTCAAGAAACTTGAGTTCCCCCTCGTTGATTGTCCCGGTCGCCTTCCTTGCAAAGAAGGTGTTGGCAAGTGCCTTGTGCACATATCTCAAGACTGGGCTCCTGATCTGAGCTGCCTTGGACCTTGAGGAAGAGTACACTCCATCAGCGATTGTAGCCCAAACCCTTTGGAGTTCCTTTTCCTTGAAGTTCCACTTGGTACCCTCTCCATAGTTGAACCCAAACAAGATTCCAGCTGCCTAAAGGTCACCATTCTCTTCTCTCCCTTAGCCAAGAACGTGATCCATCCCAATCCTTGGTCCAAATCAGCTCTATCTTCTCTCATACATGTGGTACCTCATTGAAGCTAAGAACTCACAAGTCTTGGCCAAGTGCATGTTCTTGAGACCAACTCCACATCCTCAAAGATTCCAAGGGCCTTCATTGTGTCAACATGTGGGTACTTGGTCTCCATGAAGTCCATGGAGAAGAGAGCATTGTAATGCTCTTGGTACATGGGGAGCTCATCCTCCTCCTCTCCTCAACCTCTTCCATTGGCTCATCTTGGTTCCCCTCTTGATCATCTTCATCAACCAATTGGTTCACCTCTTCTCCTTCCTCTTCACTCTCAGTCTCATCACTCCTTCTTCATTGGAGAACCATTTCCCTCCTCTTGAACAAGGTTCACTCCAATCTCAAACTCCCCTTGCTCACTCTCACTACTAATGGGTCATTCCTCTTCTTGGTTCTCCTTTCCTCCCTCAATCTCTCACTCTCAGACTGCTCCTCAGAGTAGACATATCCCTGCATCAGATTCTTCCATCCTCTGATCCTCTCTTCTCGGCTTGCATCTTAAGCCTTCTCCCTTGCATCCTTCTTATTCACCCTCTCCTTCTCCTCTGTGAAGCGCGCTTCCCTCACTGTTTCATCTTGACTGTTTCTTCACTAAAGTACCTGAAATGCATCAAAGATTACAAAGAATTAGAGTTGCAATGATCGGTTTGGTCAACTCGACACTCAGCTCGATCGAGTCAAAAAACTCGAGTGACAAACTCGATCGAGTTGGGTGAAAACAGAGTATAACCAAACCTAATTCAAGTATTAAGAGCTGGAAAGGATGCTAATCAATCAAATTGAACCAAGAACAACTAGTAAATGGAACAATGAGCAATTCTAGTGAAAACTAAGCATCTTAACCAACCAAACTCAAATTCAATTTTCAAGCACATGCAACAAGTTTAAAGGCAAAACAGAGGTGAGGTGAAACAAATAACAAGATTATACAGCAGAGGCGAAATATGAGCAATTACTCAAGAACAAGTCCACAAGGGACACATGCAATCAAAAATCAAAGGAAACAAGCAATAGTGGAAATCGAGATGGATGAATCAAGGGTTTTAGGGTTCATACCTTGTTGAATGATGGAATTGAAGAGCAGTAAACAAAACCCAAGCAAAACAAGAAGATGAACAAGAAATCGCAAAAACTTGAGAGAAAGATTGAAATTCGATTTTTCTTGTGGTGAAGAGAGAGAGAGAGTTTCAGAAATTGATGTGGGAGAGAGAAGTGGGTTCGATCGAGTTATGGGGAAGAGAGTGTTTGAGATGTGTGGTTGAGATTAAAAGATGAAATAAAGAGGGAACAAGAAGCTAGGGATTCTCTGATCAATTAGGGTAGTGGGGGACCAAAATCAGCTTGTGGGACCCACTCCCTTGACCAAGAAAACGGTTATGAATTTGAAATTCAAAAACTTACCTCGGTCGAGTTGTGTAGCTCGATCGAGTTGCCCTGGTTTCTAGCTCGATCGAGCTGTCGGTCGAGCTGGCTCCTTGACACCTAAACTTAACTTATTCAAAGGTTAAAACATAAAGATAGATAGAAATTGCATAAATAGAGTATGTACAAGGATAAACATGGGACTTCCTCCCAAGTGAGCTTGTTTAAGGTCCCATAGCTTGACCTTTACCTTCTTAGGCATTGGTTGAGCTAGTCCCACCATCAAGGGTGATAGTGAGGACTTGAGACAGAAGCTCCTTTAGCTTGGTTGGGTCCCTGGACTGTTCTGAAGTCACCAAGGCCTTGGCTCTAGAGAATGGCCTTGATCTCCCCTTGTACCTTATCTTGTACTCAATCTTCCCATTTTCAAACTTGGTGGGGAACAAAGTCATTGTGAGCTGAGATGGCTTGACTGAAGGGGCCTGAGCTGGTGGATCCTTTCTTTTATCTCCTGGTCTTGCCTTAGAGGCTGCATCCTCCCCTTCTTTTAGAGCCCTTCCTAGTGGCTCATCAAACAAAGCTTGAAGGCTCTCTTCATCAAGCACACAAGGGGCTTGAACAAGTCTCTCAGCTCTTGGCCTATCAGATCGTGGTTTCTCAACTCTAGCCCTCTCAAGACGTGGCTTCTCAATCCTTGGTCCTCTCTCATCCTTATCCTTCCCAACTCTTGGTTCCTTGTCAACCCTTTCCTTCACAACCTTTGTAGCTCCATGACTCTTAGAACTGAGATTGGTACTGTCAATTGTGGCACAAAAGTCTGAACCTCTAGGCTGCAAGCGATATGACACCAAACTATTCACCTTGTGAAGGATCACTTCTTGCTTGTGAAAGTCTATTGAAGCGCCAACTGTACTAAGGAAAGGGGTTCCCAATAACAGAGGTAAATCCTTCTCTTCTTCCATTTCCATCACAGTGAGATCAGTTTGGATGATGCATTCTCCAATTTTCAAGTGATAGTTCTTGAACACTCCAAGAGGAGACTTAGAAGTTGCATCTCCAAACATGATTGAAGTAGTAGGGCGCTGCAAGGCTCCAGCAATGCCTAGCTTCTCTGCCATGGAGAGAGAGATCAGATTGATGCTTGCTCCAGAATCCACTAAGGCATTGTCAATCTCAAGATGCCCAAGTGTGCAAGGGAGAGTGAATTTCCCTTGATCCTTGACCTTTGGTAGGAAGGTGGGTGAAGTAAGCAGGTTGAACTGATGAGTAGACTCTTGTAGGACCTCTGAAACTTTATCACTGTTGGCTAGAACATCCTTGACCATTTGCATTTGATCAAATGCCTCACTCATGCTATCCATAGGAGGCAACTCAATTCCAATCCCACTGAGATCTCTTCTGAACTTGTGAATCACTTCCTTGTGACCTTGACTAAGTAGGCGAGACGAGGAAGCGGCAACCGGTTGATAAGGATCAAGCAAAACAGGCTGTCGGACAGAAGAGGTCGGACTCGATCGAGCTAGAGTTGGACTCGATCGAGCTGCCGATCGAGCTTGTCGTGCGAGCTCAACTGGTGAAGTGTGAATGGCCACAGTAGGTGCATGCACTTCTGGTTGATCAATCTGGACTCCAGGAGCCTCAGCAGCAACAATCTCTTCATCATTCAGCAGTAAACAAAAATCTTCAATGACCCTTTCTTGATCCTCTTCTTCAACAAGTCCTTCTTGAGTGAAGATGACCTTGCACTGTTCCTTGGGGTTCTGAATAGCTTTACCAGGTAGTTGTCCTTGCTTTGTAGCAGCAGCAACAGAAGAAGCATGATTCTCCAGAGAGTAAACCCTTGTGTTGAGGTTCTCGATCTTAGAGTTTATTTCAGCTAGCTTCTTACAAAAATAAAGAAAAGCTTCGTGGTTTTTTCGTGGCTTAGAGCCTTTAAATACAAGAGGTTTTAGGTTTAGGGTCAAAGGAAAGTCAAGGGGGAAGCAACATTTTTCGGGTTTGACTGTTGACTTCTCAGCTCGATCGAGTTGAAGCTTGGCCGGTCGAGTTGAGGAACTCGACCGGTTGGTCGAGTAGACGGTCGAGCTGGTCTTCAAGATGGCTTCTCCTTCTTCCTTTGCGTATCCAGTTGAGCTGCGTCCATGTGCCAAGTCCCTCCATGCTCCTCATGTCCCATATGCTCCAGAATGCTCCAAAAGACCTATTTCAAAGGACCAAACATGCATATGTATGCAAATGCAACCTAAAACTAACATGAATGCATAAGAAGAGAAAAGGAACAAGATATGATGCAAATGGAAGCTAAAACTATGCAAAAGATGCATAAAAGATGTGCTAAAACTATGTAAAATGCAAGTACATCAACACCCCCAAACTTGAACTTTGCTTGCCCTCAAGCAAACAAATAGAACAAGAAAGAGATGAGGTTTGAAAACAGCTGATTCAACACTTAAAAACATGTCCTCAAAAGCGATTTGCTAAATGTCCAACTTAGAGATTCTAGAATGCAACAAGGTGAGAGATATTCATTAAGATTTAACCATGCTTATCAACATCAATCCCACTTCACAGTCACTCAAACAATGCATTCAAATCAGCAAATCCCTTTAACATTCATTAAGCAAAAACAGTGAACCAAAAACATGCAAGATCAATCAACTCATTTGGTTTCAAGGGTTTATGGGTTAAGAGACAAAGAGGGTCTCTTTTGTATGGTGGTTTAGTAACAGGGATCTCTCAAGAAAGTGGCTTTGCTTTGGCAGAAGGCTAAGTGTTAGAACCAAAGATGATGCAAGAACAGCAGCTCGAGCCGCCTAATCCTAACTCGATCGAGTTCAACACTTAGAGCTTTTTAGAACAAAATCCTAACTACCCTTTTTGGCATTTCGCCTTTGAAACTGAGGAGCTTTGCTCACTTTTCTTTTAAGAACTTCCTAGGGAGAGGCTTCTTGAGGTAACATCTAGCGGTTTGGGATTTTCTAAACACTTAGGGAACTTTTCTTTCCTTTTTGGACACTTGAGGCTTTGCCTTCTTTTCATTCTACTTAGAACCCTTTTTACTTCCTTTTTTAACTTCCCAAACCTTTACTAGACCCTTTTTAACACTGCCAACTCCCTGGACTTAACTAAACTCTTTTTCCTTTGGGTTTTTCCCAACTTTTACCACTTTTCTGGTTTTTACACCCAACTCGATCGAGCTCGAGTTGGCACCCCCAAACTTAGCCTGAAAACAATCCCAAGAGAACTAGACAACTAGAACTACTGCCCCTGCCGGTTTAAACACAACACCTTATGCTAAGCAAAGCCAAGAAAGGTTCTCACATTCGCACAAGAGATAATATGGGGTTTGAAATGAAAAGGCTTAGGTTTAAGGTGTGGTAACTGTCTCAAAGATAGAGATCAGCTATCTGGACAAGCAAAGGGATATGAAAATAGGTAAAGAATGTCCAGATATGTATGTGGTAGCCATGAGTTGAAATCAAATGCAAGCATTGGTAATTAAAGATCAAGTTATGGTTCAAATAGATAGGGAAATGCATCAAATCACAGCAATGGTTGAATGAGATGTGCATGCAGTGATATGATCAAGATAAACATGGTTCTTGCTGCTCAATCAATCTCACCCTAATGCACAAAAGAATCTAAAAACAGGGCACTCAAGAAATCGCAAAAGATGACAAGTTTTCAAAGTCAAATCAACAATGCAAGTGAAAAATGCAATCCTAAACAAGTCTAACAAATATGAATGCAAAAAGATGAAAATATTTTTGGATTTTTTGAAAATTTTATGATTTTTTTGGTTTTTCTATGCAAAAGATAATGAAAAACTAAGAACAAAGAAAACAAGGTTAAATCATCTCTTGAACCCTCCCCCAAACTTAAATCACACAGTCCCTTGTGTGAGAAAAATTTAGTGAAAGATTCAAGAGGGCAAAACCAAGAAAAAACAAGAACAAATGCAAGAAAATATGAAATGGTATATACAAGGGTTGGTGTTTGGATACCTCAGTGCCCCCCAAAGAACTGGGAGGCAAGGTCGTGGTCTGGAGATGGAGACGGCCATCAGGAGCACTCCACTCGACTGGGTTCCTCACTCGATCGAGCTTGCTCTTGACTCGATCGAGTTGTGCCTCGAGTTAGCCACTCTTCTTCCTAAAACCTGCTCCTGTAAGACTTAGCCAAGAAAATCATAAAAATAAAAGGATAAAGCATAAATACATAAGATAGACATGGGAATTCCTCCCAAAGCTTGTTTTGAGCTTGACCTTACCCCTTTTAGGCCGGGGTTGGATCTTCTAGAGGAGTGATGATCTCCTCTGTGGGGGTCATTCCTAGATATGGCTTGCATCTATGTCCATTTCACTGTGAATTCCTTCCCCTCTTGATTGAGTAAGTGAGGGATCCATAGGGCAAAACTTCGTGAATCTTGAATGGTCCCGCCCACTTTGACCTTAGCTTCCCGGGAAACAACCTTAGCTTGGAGTTATACAAGAGCACACTGTCCCCAACCTTGAAGTCTTTAAGGCGAATCAGTTTGTCATGGGCTGCCTTTGTTCTCATCTTATAGATCATGGAGTTCTCATAGGCATTCATTCTGATTTCCTCCAACTCAAACAAGTTCATTATCTTCTCTCTTGTGCAGCCTTTATATCAAAGTTCAGCATCTTACTGCCCATAAAGCCTTGTATTCGACCTCCACAGGTAAGTGACAATCCTTTCCATACAGCAAGTTGAAAGGGGACCTTCCAATGGGGGTTTTGTAAGCTGTTCTATAAGCCCAAAGAGCTTCATCAAGTCTTGCTGCCCAATCCTTTCCTAGTGAAGCTCACTGTCTTCTCAAGAATGGCCTTTATCTGTCTATTGGAGACCTCAACTTGCCCACTGGTTTGAGGATGGTAAGGTGTAGCGACCTTGTGCTTGACTCCATAACTCTTCATCAACTTCTCAAACACTTTATTGATGAAATGGGAGCCTCCATCCGAAATAACAACCCTTGGGATGCCATATCTTGGAAAGATGATGGTTCTGAACAATTTGATAACAACCTTAGCATCACAGGTTGGGCAGGGGATGGCTTCAATCCATTTGGACACATAGTCACAGCAACCAAAATGTAGTTGTGCCCGTTTGAGGAAGGCTTGAAAGGTCCCATGAAGTCTATTCCCCATACATCAAAGATCTCAACTTCCAGAATTGGGTTTAGTGGCATTTCATCTCTCTTGGTGATACTTCCTTTCCTTTGGCATGGATCACACTTTGCGATGTAGCTTGCTGCATCTTTAAACAAGGTAGGCCACCACAACCCAGATTGCAGAACCTTAGTTGCTGTTTTGAATGTAGCAAAGTGACCTCCATAAGCTGACCCATGGCAATGCTCTAGAACTCCTTGCACATCCTCTTCAGCAATGCATCTCCTGTAAATGCTGTCTGGTCCTCTCTTGTACAGGTAGGGCTCATCCCAATAGTAATGCCTAGCATCCTTGAAGAATTTCTTCCTCTTGTAAGCATCAAAGCTACTAGGGACTTCTCCGGACACCATGAAGTTCACTATATCAGCATACCATGGCAAATTCTCATCACGCAGAGCCTTAACTTCTTCCAGCCTGGCTTTCTCATCAAAACTCTCCTTTCAAGATCATGATTGCCATAAGCTGTTCTTCAGGCATAGAATCATTGATGGGGATCATGTCTTCAACTCGCATCCTAGAGAGATGATCAGCAACTCCATTTTCTACTCCCTTTTTGTCCACAACTTCTATATCAAACTCTTGAAGCAAAAGGATCCATCTGAGAAGTCTTGGCTTTGTATCTTTCTTAGCGAAGATGTGTCTAAGGGCAGCATGGTCAGTGTGCACAATCACCTTGGATCCAACTATATAGCTTCGAAACTTCTCAAAGGCAAAGACTATGGCAAGGAGTTCCTTCTCTGTGGTTGCATACTTGCACTGAGCATCATCCATAGTCTTGCTTGCATAGTAGATGACATTGAGTTTCTTGTCTATCTTTTGGCCAAGCACTGCTCCTACTGCATAGTCAGATGCATCACACATAATCTCAAATGGGTGATCCCAGTTTGGAGCTTGTACTATTGGCGCAGATACCAGAGCATCCTTCAGCAAGGTCCAAGACTTGTGGCATTCTTCATCAAACTCAAAATCTGTCTCCTTGCACAGAAGCCTTGTCAAGGGTCTTGCTATCTTTGAGAAATCCTTGATGAATCTTCTGTAGAACCCTGCATGACCCAGAAAACTCCTTATGTCCTTCACAGTCTTGGGAACAGGGAGCTGCAACATGACATCCACCTTAGCTCGATCGAGCTCGATCCCTTTCTCGGAAATCTTGTGTCCAAGCACAATCCCTTCTCGAACCATGAAGTGGCACTTCTCCCAGTTGAGTACTAGATTGGTCTCCTCACACCTCTGCAACACCCTGCACAAGTTAGACAAACATGAGGAGAAGGATGCTCCATAGACTGAGAAATCGTCCATGAAGACTTCTACCATCTCCTCTATCAGATCTGAAAAAATGGAGGTCATGCACCTCTGGAAAGTAGCTGGAGCATTGCACAGCCCAAATGGCATCCTTCGATAAGCAAAGGTGCCATAAGGGCATGTGAAAGTGGTCTTCTCCTGATCATTAGGGTGGATCGGGATTTGGAAGAAACCACTGTAGCCATCAAGAAAACAATAAAAAGGGTGGTTTGCCAATCTTTCTAACATCTGATCAATGAAAGGGAGAGGGAAATGATCCTTTCTAGATGCTGAATTTAGCTTCCTATAGTCAATACACATGCGATGCCCCACTATTGTTCTAGTGGGAATCAGCTCCTCTTTGTCGTTTTTAATGACAGTGATCCCCCCTTTCTTTGGGACGCAATGAACTGGAGATATCCAAGTGCTATCACTGATGGGATAGATTATCCCAGCATCAAGCAACTTGAGTATCTCTTTCTTCACTACTTCCTTTAGATTGGGGTTCAACCTTCTCTGAGGTTCAATGCTTGACTTACTTTCATCCTCTAGATGAATCCTATGGATGCATAGGTCAGGGGAGATCCCCTTGATATCATCTAGAGTGTAACCTATTGCCTTTCTGTACTTCCTCAATTCAACAAGCAAAGCACTCAACTGTTCAGGTTCCAAATCAGAGTTCACAATGACAGGGTAAGTTGAGTTTTCACCCAGAAATGCATACCTGAGGCCCTCAGGCAAAGGTTTGAGGTCGACTTTAGGTGCCTTGAGCTCAGACCAATCTCCTTGAGCTTGTTCCTTGCATTCAGCCCCAGCTCGATCGAGTTCGTTTGTTCGAGGCTCGACTCGATCGAGTTCTTGATCGAGCTCACTGCCATGACTTCGCAAACTGGCCTGTCCAATCCCTCAATGCTCAGAATGTTTGGAACTGGTCTGAAGGTGTCAAGGAGCTTCTTGTACTCATCAGTTTCTGAGCTCACATATCCCTCTGAAGAATCCTTGGTCAAAGCAACTTGTAGGGATCCTCTGTTGATAACTCTTCTAGAAGCTCATCTGCCAACTGATCCATTTCCTCAACATAAAAGAGCTGACCTTCTATAGTTGGTTTCCTCATTGTATCCTTGATATCAAACTTCATCCTTAGGTCCTTTCCCAAGTTTAACTCAATTGTTCCTTCACAGACATCTATCATTGCTCTTGCTGTAGCTAGGAATGGCCTTCCTAGAATCAATGGATCTGTTGGTTCCTCATCCATCTCAAGCACAATGAAGTCTGTGGGGATTTCCACATTCCCTATCCTCAAAGGCAGGTCTTCAAGCATCCCAGTTGGTAACCTTATCGATCTATCTGCCAAGACTAGTGAGATTCCGCAGGCTTGGTACTTGTGATATCCCAGTCTCTTCGCTACAGACAAAGGCATGAGGCTGACAGATGATCCTAGATCGCAGAGGCTGTTTTTGAAAGATAGGGGTCCCAACATGCAGGTAAAGTGAAACTCCCCGGATCTTCCTTTTTGTCGGAGATGACCTTCCGCTGAATGATTGCACTGCACTCGCGAGTCAACACTACCATCCCTTGTGCTTCCCTGGTTCTTTGCTGAACAGCATCCTTCAGAAATTTCTGATAAGGTGGAATGAGCATCAAGGCGTCGATGAAGGGCAACTTCAACTCAAGCTGTCTCATTAGTTCATCAAACTTGGCCTTGTGTGCTTCCAACAGTTGTTTCTTGAACCTTCCTGGAAAGGGTAGAGGGGGTTTTATGGTGGTGGTCCTGCTGGAGTGTCTTTCTTCTTTGCAACAGGTTTAGCTGGTTGGCTGGAGTTGCTTTGTCGCTGTTTCTCAGCTCGATCGAGCTCTGGTTTGTCTTGCTGAGTCTCGTTTCTCAGCTCGATCGAGTTCTGGTTCAGGGTTTTGTTCCAGCTCGATCGAGTTCGGGTCGAGTTATCAGCATCTCGACTAAATCCTCCCCTTCCTCGTCATCGATGTCCACAGCGATTTGGGGTGGGCTACCTCTACTAGGGAATTGCCTCCCACTTCTTAGTGTAACTGCTTGGGCATACTCTTGTGGTGAAGAGGATGATGCACTTGAAGACTCAATGATTTGGACTCTTGAAGTCAATGACTCTAGTTTAGAGTGTATCTCAACCAGCTTGTTGTTCATTTCCAGAGAACCTTTGGCTTGCCCTTGTAAAAGTTGTTGGAGCATTTCCTTCATATCCCAATCTTGAGTTGGTTGGGTATGAGTAGTCCTTGGGTTGAAACCTTGTGGAACACTTTGTTGTTGGTGCGGCCAGGGGGCTTGATAATTGTTGTATCTCCCTTGTTGAGGATTCCTATAGCTTCCTTGTCTATTTTGAATGTAGCAAACCTCTTGTGTTGTCTCCTCCCCTTCCTGGTCCTTTGACTAAGGTTTGTTCTGAGACATAGTTGACATGCTTGGCAGGGAATTGGGCTAGGATCAATTTGTCCAACTTCGAGTGCGCGGTCGAGCTCCAGTCTGTACTTTCATAGTGCTCTCCATAGCATTCTGTTGATATGGCCATGTTCTCCACAAGTTGCCAGCCATCATCTACATCCTGGTTGAGGAAGTTCCCATTGCTAGCTGTGTCTAGCATCTCCCTATACCTAGGCAAGCATCCTCTATAAAGAGTGGAGAGTAGGATTCATTGTTGAATCCATGGTGTGGGCACTGACTTGTGTAGCCTTTGAACCTCTCCCAAGCCTCTGCGAATGTCTCATTGTTTCGCTGGATGAAGCTGGATATCTCTCCTCTAAGCTTGGCTGTGCGACCGGTGGAGAAAAACTTAGCAAGAAAGGCCTTCTTGCATTCATCCCAAGTGGTGATTGTGCCATGGGGCAAGCTCTTCTCCCATTGGTGAGCTTTGTCAGCTAGAGACATAGGAAAGAGTCTCAGCTTGGTGCCATCGCAATCACAATCAATCAATTCCTCTTAACCATCATTGTCGATGCAGCATAAGAGGTTATCAATCCATAAGGGTTTGTTGCTACTCTATGAGAATATGCAAACACAATAAAGTCAAGCAAACAGTAAGGATGATGATAAGTAACTCTAACAACCTAATGAAATGAAAGTGCAATGCAGAAAGTAAAAGAAAGCAGTGAATAAAAGCAGCTCGACCAATGGCTCGATCGAGTAGAACAGACAAGCTGGGCTCGATCGAGTTGAGGGTCGAGTAGAGGTAAAAACAGATAAAAAGCGGTAAAGGAACAAACTTTAATGCAATAAAAGGAAGGATAAGGTCTAAGACAGGGTCTTGCGACTAGGGGAAGGCTATACTTAATCAATCTTGCTTATTAACCACTTATACACAAGCTATCTCTTGGCATTGAGCTTCTCTAGCCTAGCTAACCCTTTCCCAAGGTGAAAGCTATCATCTAAAGGCAAGATCTCAGAAACAAGGGGTCAGCCAGTGAGAATCAAGCCTTAGAGGCAGTAGGATCATTGCTCAAACTAACCCATCCAACACCTATAAACTCCATTTCGAGAGCAAGCATATTGGAGCTCTTAGTGGACCTTTTCAAGCAATTTCCCAACACTTCCATGAGGAAAATCGCCTAGACTCATACATGCCAGGGTCAGTGGTCATTGATGATAGGATTTTACGTGGGTGTGATATGATATGAATGAAGGGTGATAAGATATGAGGTGGAATGCAAACAGGGGTGAAAGATGAAATGGTGCAATCACAATCAATCAATTCCTCTTAACCATCATAGTCATGTAGTACAAGAGGTTATCAATCCAAAATGGGAAACTTGTCACTCTTTGAGAATATGAAACAACCAGAAAGTCAAGCAAGCAGTAATAGATTTGAAGTAACACTAACAACCTAAATAAAATGAAATGCAGTGCAATAAAAGTAAACAAAGCAGTGAAGTAGAGCTCGACCAAGGACTCGAGTCGAGTCAGAACAAAGTACCAGCTCGATCGAGTTTAGGGACGAGTTGAGACAAACAAAGCTAAAGGTGACGACTTTAACAAGATAAGAGAGAATTAGGGTTCAAGACAGGGTTTTGCAATCAAAGGAATCTACACTTAATCATCTAGCTCTTAAAACTCCTTGTATCAAGGCTTCTCTTGATATTGGGCTTCTCAATGCCTAGCCAACCCTTTCCCAAGGTGAGGCTATCAACCAAGGAATGATCTCAGAAACAGGGGGTTAGCCAGTGAGAATCAAACCTTGGAGGCTATAGGATCATTGCCCAAACTAATCCATCCAACCCCTTAGACCTCTATTGTCTAGAGCAAGAGATATTGGAGCTCTTAGTGGATCTTTTCCAGCGAATGCCATCACTTTCGTGTGGGGAGTCGCCTAAGGACTTACAAGCCAGGGGTAGTGGTCATGTAGCCTTAAGATCTATCCAAAAGAGAGAGAATCTAGATTAAGACCATAAGCTAGAAGGATTAAGCATATGAAACCTCTAATCTATCCCATCTCAAACCCCAATGGGTAACTACTCACTACACATGAATGTAAACACAAGCAAATGCAATAAAAGAGACATCATAAGAAAGAGGAGATGAAATTAAACAACTTTTATTGAAATAAGCAAGTGCAAATACAAAGAATTAATCCAGGATCTAAGATTCAAGAAGCAAGAGCTTCAAGAACACAAAGATGGATTAGATTCTAAAAAGTAAAAGACAATAAATTAAAGAAACTAAAACAAAATAATCTAAAGCTTGGTGGTTTTTTCGTGGCTTAGAGCCTTTAAATACAAGAGGATTAGGTTTAGGGTCAAAGGAAAGTCAAGGGGGAAGCAACATTTTTCGGGTTTGACTGTTGACTTCTCAGCTCGATCGAGTTGAAGCTTGGCCGGTCGAGTTGAGGAACTCGACCGGTTGGTCGAGTAGACGGTCGAGCTGGTCTTCAAGATGGCTTCTCCCTTCTTCCTTTGCGTATCCAGTTGAGCTGCTTCCATGTGCCAAGTCCCTCCATGCTCCTCATGTCCCATATGCTCCAGAATGCTCCAAAAGACCTATTTCAAAGGACCAAACATGCATATGTATGCAAATGCAACCTAAAACTAACATGAATGCATAAGAAGAGAAAAGGAACAAGATATGATGCAAATGGAAGCTAAAACTATGCAAAAGATGCATAAAAGATGTGCTAAAACTATGTAAAATGCAAGTAAATCAGTCATGTAGCCTTAAGGTTGGTCCAAAGAGAGAGATTTCTAGGTTAAGAACATAAGCAAAAGAGATTAAGCATAAGGATCCTCTAGTCTAGCCCATCTTGGACCCTAAGGATAACTACTCACTACACATAACGAAATACACAATCAAATGAAATGAAAGAGACATAATATGAAAGAGGGAATCAAACTAAAGAACTTTTATTGAAATAAGCAAATGCAAATACAGAAAGATAAGGCCTAGATCTAAGGTTCAAGAGCAAGAGCTCAAGAACACAAAGAGAGGCTTATGTTTTGCAAAAAGTAAATTACAAGATTAAGGAAAAGCAAAAACGAAAATAAGCTAAAAGTTCTTGTCTTTTTTGTGGCTACAAGCCTTTAAATATAAGAAGGATTAGGTTTAGGGTCAAAGGGAAGTCAAAGGGGAAGAAACATTTTTCGGGTTTGACCATTGACTCCGCAGCTCGATCGAGTTGGAACTTGGCCGGTCGAGTAGATGGGTCGAGCTGACTTCAAGACGGCTTCCTTCTTCATCCTAAGCTTGTGCGGTTGAGCTGAATCCATGCACCAAGTCTTTCCTTGCTCCACACGTCACAATTGCTCCAAAGTGCTCCAAAAAGATATATTCAAGGATCAAACATGCACATGTATGCAAATGCAACCTAAAACTACTATGAATGCATAAGAAGGGAAAAAGGAACAAGATATGATGCTAATGGAGACTAAAACAATACAAAAGATGTATAAAAGATGTACTAAAACTATGCAAAATGCAAGTACATTAAGTACACAGCTTCTTGAGATCATACATACAAATATTTGTGGACCTTTTGATGTTCCAACTTTTGGAGGTGAAAAGTATTTCATCACTTTTATCTGATGATATCACATATTTTACATGATTTTACTATATAATATTTTATGTTTTCAAACGGTTTTTGCAAGATTCTTTGCCTTTAGAGGTAGTTTTCTTGTATTTGTGGGATTTGAAGTCTTTGTAGGTGAAACCATCAAAAAGGATGCAAAAAGGAGTAAAAGAGCCCTAAATCAAGATCCATGCAAGTTTCCAAGTCAAGAAGATCATTTTATCTCCAAGTGTTAGTTCTCGCTAGCGCGCAGAACGAAGCTTCGGAAGTTTGGCCGCGCGCGGAGGAGTTCCCGACGTCCAAAAGTTACGATCTTGATATGGAAAGATAGATACTTGAGTCATGCATCACGTCGAAGTGGAATGAAGCCATTTGGATCAACTATGAGGCCTAACTTATTTTCTACCGAGACATGTCCGGTAAGCGAGCAAACGAAGCCCATGGAGGATTTGGAGTGTCTAATGGCCCGAGCAGCAGCGCCAAAGGCCTTGATCGAATAGAGAAGAGGCCTGGCTAATGTTTGGAGCTTTCCTTGGTACAATGTCGGCCCATACACGACGTGGAGAAGAAGGCTCGGCTCATGGGAAACTTTCCTTTTCCGGCATGAAGAAAACCCTACGCGACTTCGCCCATATATACATGTTTTTAGCCGCTGAAGAAGAGAGTCGAGCGTGTGAGTTTGTGAGAAGAGAGTCAGAGAAGAGAGAGAGAAGCCCTAGGAGATCGTCCAAGAAGAAGGAGGCGCCGCTCAACTCTTGTTCTTTCTTTTTCATTGTTTCCATTTCTATAAACTTGATCTTAAGAGTTTTCAAGGGAGAATCCGACTTTGTTCATCAATAGAGAAGCTTTCTTCATCCCTTTATCTCTTTTAATACTTGCATAATGTTTACAATCATGCTTTGCTTGCTTGTTTGCATCATGGCCGAGTAGATCTCTTAGTTAGGCCGAGGAGATCTATGGTGGCCGTGATGATTTGATTGTGTTGCAACTTATTGGGATTTATCTTATGGATCTTCACCTTTACTTGAGCTTAATGCATGATTACTCTACCGTACATCTAGTAATCTGATCTTAGAGAAATAGAACCACGACAGTGCTGAATCTAGATCTCAAAACTAGTATTTGGTGAGCAATAGATCATAGCCAACGAAAGCTGAGTTATGGTTTATTGTGAACAATTGAATCTTGATCACTTTAATGCATGTTTGCAATTCTAATAGCCAACGAAAGCTGAGTATATTAGGTTGTTTTAAACATAGTGGTTGGAGCCACGACAGTGGAAAGACCATACACTAGTGATTCATGTTCAAGACGGCTCTACACACATCCCATGCAACTATCTTTTCATCATTGCTCCATATGATTGTCCTTTGCCTAACTCTTGTTTTAAATTGTTTACAACCTCACTCACATTTCTTTTGTTTTGCTTTCTATTCTAGGTCCAAAACCATCTCATATTGCGAGCTAGCTACAAACCAATCTCACAAGGTGTTAAGCGAGAACACTTCCTCCTCGTGTTCGACCCCGACTACAACACGGCTGTGCACTTGCAGCTCATTAGTTGGGTTTATAAATTGTGAAAATTTGAGGCAATCTAAACCCGCCATCAAGCTTTCTGGCGCCGTTGCCGGGGAGGAGTTGCTTTTCCTTCACACCTCTTGATTGATTTCAAGACTAGCTCATCTCATCTTTTACTTTCTTTGTTTTGTTTTTCATAAAATCTTAAAAACTCATAAAAATTTTTACTTAACTTCTCTTTGTGTGTTTCTAAGGTGCATGACAAGAAGGTCCAATCCAAACAACCATTGAAGAAGATCTTGACATTGACCAACTTGAAAGAACACTTAGGCGACTAAGAAGAGAAAGGATGAATCAAGGCGGGGAAGCCATACCTAATAGGCAGCAGCAGCCGCCTGACCATGAAGAGAGGGCCAATAAACCTCATGTGCAACCAGAAGGAGGAGCTGACCAGCCAGCAGCAGCCGGAGCCGTGCCTCAACCCGATCAGAACGCTCCCGGAGCAGCCAACCAGCCTCAGCAGCCTTCTAATCAACCACAACCGCCTCCGGCGTTCCACAACAATGGACTCCATCATCATCACGGTGACCAAAAAGGGATGCCTCAAGCTCACCCGCTGATATCACCATATTTTACATGATTTTACTATATATTTACCTATGTTTTCAAACGGTTTTTGCAAGATTCTTTGCCTTTAGAGGTAGTTTTCTTGTATTTGTGGGATTTGAAGTATTTGTAGGTAAAACCATCAAAAAGGATTCAAAAAGGAGTAAAAGAGCCCTAAATCAAGATCCATGCAAGTGTCCAAGTCAAGAAGATCATTTTTATCTCCAAGTGTTAGTTCTCGCTTGCGCGCAGAACAAAGCTTTGGAAGTTTGGCCGCACGCAGAGGAGTTCCCGACGTCCAAAAGTTGCGATCTTGATATGGAAAGATAGATACTTGAGTCATGCATCACGTCGAAGTGGAATGAAGCCATTTGGATCAACTATGAGGCCTAGACTTATTTTCTACCGAGACATGTCCGGTAAGCGAGCAAACGAAGCCCATGGAGGATTTGGAGTGTCTAATGGCCCGAGCAGCAGCGCCAAAGGCCTTGATCGAATAGAGAAGAGGCCTGGCTAATGTTTGGAGCTTTCCTTGGTACAATGTCGGCCCATACACGACGTGGAGAAGAAGGCTTTGCTCACGGGAAACTTTCCTTTTCCGGCATGAAGAAAGCCCTACGCGACTTCGCCCATATGTACATGTTTTTAGCCGCTGAAGAAGATCTATGGTAGCCGTGATGATTTGATTGTGTTGCAACTTATTGGGATTCATCTTATGGATCTTCACCTTTACTTGAGCTTAATGCATGATTACTCTACCGTACATCTAGTAATCTGATCTTAGAGAAATAGAACCACGACAGTGCTGAATCTTGATCTCAAAACTAGTATTTGGTGAGCAATAGATCATAGCCAACGAAAGCTGAGTTATGGTTTATTGTGAACAATTGAATCTTGATCATCTTTAATGCATGTTTGCAATTCTAATAGCCAACGAAAGCTGAGTATATTAGGTTGTTTTAAACATAGTGGTTGGAGCCACGACAGTGGAAAGACCATACACTAGTGATTCATGTTCAAGACGGCTCTACACACATCCCATGCAACTATCTTTTCATTATTGCTCCATCCCATACAACTCGTATCAATGGAGTATCACCGGACTACTTCAAGTGCAAGTTGTTCACTTTTTTCTCTAAGTGACAAGGCGCTTAGATGGGTCAAGTGTCTGCCACCTCAGTCCATTACAACATGGAATGAATACAAGGGAGCTTTCTTAAACCAATTCTACACCAAGCAAAGATCCAACTCTATAAGGAGCAAGATTTCTGGTTTTAAGCAAGATTCAATGGAGTCTTTCTATGAAGCTTTGGAGAGATTCAAGGAGTATAACAAGGAGCTGCCCTAATCATGGCTTTTCAGAAGGTAACCTTTGGAACATCTTTTACAATGGGATTGATCACAAATACAAGCTTTCTCTGGATACCGCGAGCAATGGTAACTTCATGACCAAGTCGGTGCCGGAGGCAAAGCTTTTGATTGAGAATCTCGCTGCTAGTGATGCCAATGCATGCCCTGACTACAATAGAAGCGTGAAGACCACGAGCTCATCAGAATCAGCTCAAATCTCGGAGCTAAAGAACATGGTCTCACAACTACTCAAAAGCCGGCAAGGAGTTCACGCCATTGAAGATGCCCTAGCCACAAATGAAGACACTCTTATGGACTTCATAGGAGATGCCACTGAAGAGAACATAGAGGAGGTCAACTACATTGGAGGAAACTATGGGAATAGAGGATTCAATAACCATTTCGAGCTCATCCAAACCTATCATACCGGAGCAACAATGTGGAGAATCCAATGACCAAGTCTACCCCAATCAAGGAGCGTATCAAGGAGGCCAATATCAGTCCAAGCCACAACAAGTCTATCCAAGAGGATGTACCAAGTGAAGCAACCATTCACTTTTTCTCAAGAAACAAATCCAACCCAAACCGGAGAGAAGGTTGACGTGGCCTTGAAGAAATACATGGAGGAGCAGAGATTGATCACCAAGAACCTATATGAGAAGCTTGATCACATGTTTGGTGATCTTAGCAGCAAGTTTGGGTCTCTCTCAACTCATGTGCAGAAGCTTGAAGTGCAAATCGGTCAAACAGCCGAGGCGGCCAAGAAGCAAAATGAGGTAAACACTCAAAATTTTGTAGTGTTGTCTCATCTATGGATAGCAAAGTTGTTCCTACACTATCTCAAGGAGAAGAAGTAGAAAATGAGCCTAAGGAGAGGCTAAAACCAGAGAGATATAGTAGGGAATCAAGAAGAGCTTACAAGAGAAGACTTGAAGGCAAGCCACTACAAAAGAAAGAAGATCCGGGGAAGTTTGTGATCACTTCAAGTATCAATGGCTTCCAACTCCATGATTGCCTATGTGATACTGGTGCTAACGTGAATCTAATGTCTCTTGCACTTGCAAAAGACTTGGGATTCAAGGAATTCAAGAGCCCTAAGATAAGAGTTGAGTTCGCGGATCTATCATGCATGGAACCTTATGGAATGCTTGAAGATGTTATGCTGGAAATAGGAGGTCGATTTTTCCCAACTGACTTTCAAGTCATGGTTTGGGAAGGCTCAAAGAGGAATCAACTGATTCTTGGAACCTCATTCCTTGCTACAGCCGGAGCGATCCTTAATTATTTTGGGAACCATCTATCGTTTGGCTACATTCGGCAAGATGTCTTCTTCCCAAGCATCAACTTCAGGTCAGTGGCAAGTGAAACCAAACTACAACTAGAAGAGGCCACTCTCATGCCTAAGAAAGAAGCCATGCTGCATGGAGAAAGAAGGGAGAGTGAGCGCTACCCGAAACAAAAGGAGAAGAAAAAACCATTGGAGCCGAGGCATGAAAATGTCTTCAAGGATATAAGCTTGATGATAGGATTTGTGTGTGGTGTGAAATGATATGAAATGAGATGTGGTGGAATGCAACAGTGGTATAGATGAGGTGGTAAGATGCAAACACAAACACAGTCAACAATTCCCTTTAACCATGATAGTGTTATAGCATAAAGGGTTATCAATCCAAAATGGGGAAACTTGTCACTCTATGAGAATATGAAAAACAAGGAAGTCAAGCAAGCAGTAATAGATTTGGTAACACTAACAACCTAAAAAAATGAAATGCAATGCATAAAAGTAAAAAAGCAGTAAGCAACAGCTCGACCAAGGACTCGAGTCGAGTGGAACAGAGTACCGAGCTCGATCGAGTTTAGGGTCGAGTTGAGAAAAGCAATAAAGGCAGCGACTTTAACAAGCTAAGAGAGAATTAGGGTTCAAGACAGGGTTTTGCAATCAGGAAGCTACACTTAATCAATCTGCTCTTAAAACTCCTTGTATCAAGGCTTCTCTTGATATTGGGCTTCTCAATGCCTAGCCAACCCTTTCCCAAGGTGAGGCTATCAACCAAGGAATGATCTCAGAAACAGGGGGTTAGCCAGTGAGAATCAAACCTTGGAGGCCATAGGATCATTGCCCAAACTAATCCATCCAACCCCTTAGACCTCTATTTCTAGAGCAAGAGATATTGGAGCTCTTAGTGGATCTTTTCCAGCGATTTCCATCACTTCCATGTGGAGAATCGCCTAAGGACATACAAGCCAGGGGTAGTGGTCATGTAGCCTTAAGATCTATCCAAAAGAGAGAGAATCTAGATTAAGACCATAAGCAAGAAGGATTAAGCATATGAAACCCTAATCTATCCCATCTCAAACCCTAATGGGTAACTACTCACTACACATGAATGTAAACACAAGCAAATGCAATAAAAGAGACATCATAAGAAAGAGGAGATGAAATAAACAACTTTTATTGAAATAAGCAAGTGCAAATACAAAGAGATTATCCAGGATCTAGGATTCAAGAAGCAAGAGCTTCAAGAACACAAAGATGGGATTAGAGCTCTAAAAAGTAAAAGACAATAAATTAAAAGAAACTAAAACAAAAAGTAATCTAAAGCTTGGTGGTTTTTTCGTGGCTTTTAGCCTTTAAATACAAGAGGATTAGGTTTAGGGTCAAAGGAAAGTCAAGGGGGAAGCAACATTTTTCGGGTTTGACTTTGACTTCTCAGCTCGATCGAGTTGAAGCTTGGCCGGTCGAGTTGAGGAACTCGACCGGTTGGTCGAGCTGGTCTTCAAGATGGCTTCTCCCTTCTTCCTTTGCGTATCCAGTTGAGCTGCGTCCATGTGCCAAGTCCCTCCATGCTCCTCACGTCCCATATGCTCCAGAATGCTCCAAAAGACCTATTTCAAAGGACCAAACATGCATATGTATGCAAATGCAACCTAAAACTACTATGAATGCATAAGAAGAGAAAAGGAACAAGATATGATGCTAATGGATGCTAAAACTATGCAAAAGATGCATAAAAGATGTACTAAAACTATGTAAAATGCAAGTACATCAACACCCCCAAACTTGAACTTTGCTTGCCCTCAAGCAAACAAATAGAACAAGAAAGAGATGAGGTTTGAAAACAGCTGATTCAACACTTAAAAACATGTCCTCAAAAGCGATTTGCTAAATGTCCAACTTAGAGATTCTAGAATGCAACAAGGTGAGAGATATTCATTAAGATTTAACCATGCTTATCAACATCAATCCCACTTCACAGTCACTCAAACAATGCATTCAAATCAGCAAATCCCTTTAACATTCATTAAGCAAAAACAGTGAACCAAAAACATGCAAGATCAATCAACTCATTTGGTTTCAAGGGTTTATGGGTTAAGAGACAAAGAGGGTCTCTTTTGTATGGTGGTTTAGTAACAGGGATCTCTCAAGAAAGTGGCTTTGCTTTGGCAGAAGGCTAAGTGTTAGAACCAAAGATGATGCAAGAACAGCAGCTCGAGCCGTCTAATCCTAACTCGATCGAGTTCAACACTTAGAGCTTTTTAGAACAAAATCCTAACTACCCTTTTTGGCATTTCGCCTTTGAAACTGAGGAGCTTTGCTCACTTTTCTTTTAAGAACTTCCTAGGGAGAGGCTTCTTGAGGTAACATCTAGCGGTTTGGGATTTTCTAAACACTTAGGGAACTTTTCTTTCCTTTTTGACACTTGAGGCTTTGCCTTCTTTTCATTCTACTTAGAACCCTTTTTACTTCCTTTTTTAACTTCCCAAACCTTTACTAGACCCTTTTTAACACTGCCAACTCCCTGGACTTAACTAAACTCTTTTTCCTTTGGATTTTCCCAACTTTTACCACTTTTCTGGTTTTTGACACCCAACTCGATCGAGCTCGAGTTGGCACCCCCAAACTTAGCCTGAAAACAATCCCAAGAGAACTAGACAACTAGAACTACTGCCCCTGCCGGTTTAAACACAACACCTTATGCTAAGCAAAGCCAAGAAAGGTTCTCACATTCGCACAAGAGATAATATGGGGTTTGAAATGAAAAGGCTTAGGTTTAAGGTGTGGTAACTGTCTCAAAGATAGAGATCAGCTATCTGGACAAGCAAAGGGATATGAAAAGGTAAAGAATGTCCAGATATGTATGTGGTAGCCATGAGTTGAAATCAAATGCAAGCATTGGTAATTAAAGATCAAGTTATGGTTCAAATAGATAGGGAAATGCATCAAATCACAGCAATGGTTGAATGAGATGTGCATGCAGTGATATGATCAAGATAAACATGGTTCTTGCTGCTCAATCAATCTCACCCTAATGCACAAAAGAATCTAAAAACAGGGCACTCAAGAAATCGCAAAAGATGAACAAGTTTTCAAAGTCAAATCAACAATGCAAGTGAAAAATGCAATCCTAAACAAGTCTAACAAATATGAATGCAAAAAGATGAAAATATTTTTGGATTTTTTGAAAATTTTATGATTTTTTTGGTTTTTCTATGCAAAAGAATGAAAAACTAAGAACAAAGAAAACAAGGTTAAATCATCTCTTGAACCCTCCCCCAAACTTAAATCACACAGTCCCTTGTGTGAGAAAATTTAGTGAAAGATTCAAGAGGGCAAAACCAAGAAAAAAAAGCAAAGAAAATATGAAATGGTATATACAAGGGTTGGTGTTTGGATACCTCAGTGCCCCCCAAAGAACTGGGAGGAAGGTCGTGGTCTGGAGAGGGAGACGGCCATCAGGAGCACTCCACTCGACTGGGTTCACCTCACTCGATCGAGCTTGCGGCTCCTCTTCTTCCTCTTCTTCATCGAAGTGTGTGTGGCTCCCTTGGCCTTGGTGGAGCTGGCTGCTCGAAGCGGTTGTAGGGGTCCATCTCTGAGAGAAGTCCTGGTAGGCGTTGGATCGTACTCGAATCCGGTTCTCAAACAGGGGCTCCTCCAGGTCAACTCGACCTCAGCTCGATCGAGTTGAGTTTCCTCTGTTTGGACTCGATCGAGTCCGGTGGTCGAGCTGGAGCGTCTGGCCTTGGAAGCTCTTCCTCCTTCTCTGCGAGTTGTCTTCTCCTTCCCTTGGCTCGAAAGAAGAGGCTCTGTGAGGCTCTTGGGCAGGGAGCCTCCTTGGAGTGGTGAGGAGTGATCTACTCCTAGGGAAGTGGGGGCCTTGGACTTCTTCTTCTTGCTTGAAGAACCAGAAACCTTCTTCTCCAAACTTTGATCTTGCTCACCATCTTGTCCATGGACTTTTGCATCTTTCCATGGCTTTCCCTTGCCACTTGTTGAACTTTTGGAGAAGTCCAATCCTCTTGTGGGCAGCCACAACAGAGGGGTTCATCCTTGGAGCCTCATACTCCTCAAAGTAATAGCACTCAGGCTCACCCAAATCCGCATTCCTGAGCTTGTCTCAGCTCGATCCTCAGCTCGATCGAGCTCAGGCTCCTCTTCTCGCAAATCTCTCATGCCCAACTAATGTGTACACAGGGGGTCTGAAGTCAATGTTCTCACCCCTAGACCTGTGGTGAGCTCAGGGTTGGGCAGGAGAAGCTTGGAGGGTCCAGCCAATGGATGTGTGAACTTGAATTGGAACCTCCCATCCAACTCCTTGTGCTCAATGAGGAGGTTGGTCTTGCAAAACTTGATGTCCATCCACCCTGGAGTAGACCTTCTCTTGTCCAGTTGGACTCCAGCTGCACAGAGGATTGGTGTGATGACCCTCCAACACTAAGCTTCTTCCCTTTTGACCTAGTGTTGTAGGCTGTCTTGTAGGAGAGAGCTGTCAAGGAGAGGCATGAGATTCCCTGCAGATCTATCTCCTCTGATTCTTCCCATCCTTGTGCGTGAGATGATGGGCTTGATTCCCATGTCAAGGAGCTTCACTCTCCCTCATTGATTGTCCAGTGCTTTCCTTGCAAAGAAGGTGTTGGCAAGAGCCTTGTGACATATCTCAAGCACTGGGCTCCTGATCTGGCAGCCTTGGACCTTGAGGAAGAGTATCCCTCTTCAGCGATTGTAGCCCAAACCTTTGGAGCTCTCTCCTTGAGTTCCATGGTTCCCTTCTCCATAGTGAACCCAAACAGATCTCCAACTGCCTAAAGGTCCTCTTCTCTCCCTTGCCAAGAACGTGATCCATCCCAAGCCTTGGTCCAATCAGCTCGATCGAGCTCTTGTACTGTGGTACCTCATTGAGCCAAAAACTCACAAGTGAGCTCCTTGTAAGACTCCATGCGGTAAGAGAAGAACTTGGCCAAGTGCATGTTCTTGAGACCAACTCCACATCCTCAAAGATCCAAGGCCTTCATTGTGTCATCATGTGGGTACTTGGTCTCCACAAAGTCCATGGAGAAGAGAGCATTGTAGTGCTCTTGGTACATAGGGAGTTCTTCTTCCTCCTCTTGTGGCTCAACCTCCTCCATGGTTCATCTTGGTTACTCTCTTGCTCACTCTCATCAACCAATTGATTCACCTCTTCTCCTTCCTCTTCACTCTCAGTCTCATCACTTCCTTCTTCACTTGGAGAGCCATTTCCCTCCTCTTGAACAAGGTTCACTCCAATCTCAAACTCCCCTTGCTCACTCTCACTACTAATGGGGTCATTCCTCTTCTTGGTCTCCTTTCCTCCCTCAATCTCTCACTCTCAGACTCTTCCTCAGAGTAGACATATCCTCTGCATCAGACTCTTCCATCCTTTGATCATCCTCCAAATCGGCTTGCATCTTAAGCCTTCTCTCCCTTGCATTGCTTGATTCACCCTCAACCATTCTCCTCTGTGAAGCGCGCTTCCCTCACTGTTTGTCATCTTGTTACACTGTTTCTTCACTAAAGTACCTGAAATGCATCAAAGATTACAAAGAATTAGAGTTGTAATGATCGGTTTGGTCAACTCGACACTCAGCTCGATCGAGTCAAAAAACTCGAGTGACAAACTCGATCGAGCTAGGTGAAAACAGAGTATAACCGAACCTAATCAAGTATTAAGAGCTGGAAAGGATGCTAATCAATCAAATTGAACCAAGAACAACTAGTAAATGGAACAATGAGCAATTCTAGTGAAGACTAAGCATCTTAACCAATACCAAACTCAAATTCAATTTTCAAGCACATGCAACAAGTTCTAAAGGCAAAACAGAGGTGAGGTGAGGCAAATTCACAATTATAACAGAAAATATGAAAGCAATTACTCAAGAACAAGTCCACAAGGGACACATGCAATCAAAATCAAAGAGAAAACAAGCAATAAGAGAATCGAGATGAGGATTCAGGGTTTAGGGTTCATACCTTGCTTGAATGATGGAAGAATCACAGTAAGCTAGAAAAAGCAAACAAGATGATGAACAATGAAAATCGCAAAAACTTAAGAGAGAAAGAGAGGGAAATTCGATTTTTCTTGTGGTGAAGAGAGAGAGAGATGATTTCAGAAAATTTAGTGTGGGAGAGGAGAGGTGGATTCGATCGAGTTATGGGGAAAGGGAGTGTTTGAGATGTGTGGTTGAGATTAAAAGTGAATAAAGGGGGACAAAAGCTAGGGTTTTTCTGATCAATTTAGGGTAGTGGGGGACCAAAATAACTTGTGGGACCCACTCCCTTGACCAAGAAAACGGTTATGAATTTGAAATTCAAAAACTTACCTCGGTCGAGTTGTGGAACTCGATCGAGTTGCCCTGGTTTCTAGCTCGATCGAGCTGTCGGTCGAGCTGGCTCCTTTGTCACCTAAACTTAACTTATTGAAAGGTTAAAACATAAAATAGATAGAAATTGCATAAATAGAATATGTACAAGGATAAACATGGGACTTCCTCCCAAGTGAGCTTGTTTAAGGTCCCATAGCTTGACCTTTACCTTCTTAGGCATTGGTTGAGCTAGTCCCACCATCAAGGGTGATAGTGAGGACTTGAGACAGAAGCTCCTTTAGCTTGGTTGGGTCCCTGGATTGTTCTGAAGTCACCAAGGCTTGGCTCTAGAGAATGGCCTTGATCTCCCCTTGTACCTTATCTTGTACTCAATCTTCCCATTTTCAAACTTGGTGGGGAACAAAGTCATTGTGAGCTGAGATGGCTTGATGAAGGGGCCTGAGCTGGTGGATCCTTTCTTTTATCCCTGGTCTTGCCTTAGAGGCTACATCCTCCCCTTCTTTTAGAGCCCTTCCTAGTGGCTCATCAAACAAAGCTTGAAGGCTCTCTTCATCAAGCACACAAGGGGCTTGAACAAGTCGATCAGCTCGTGGTCTATCAGACGTGGTTTCTCAACTCTAGCCCTCTCAAGACGTGGCTTCTCAATCCTTGGTCCTCTCTCATCCTTATCCTTCCCAACTCTTGGTTCTTTGTCAACCCTTTCCTTCACAACCTTTGTAGCTCCATGACTCTTAGAACTGAGAGTGGTACTGTCAATTGTGGCACAAAAGTCTGAACCTCTAGGCTGCAAGCGATATGACACCAAACTATTCACCTTGTGAAGGATCACTTCTTGCTTGTGAAAGTCTATTGAAGCGCCAACTGTACTAAGGAAAGGGGTTCCCAATAACAGAGGTAATCCTTCTCTTCTTCCATTTCCATCACAGTGAGATCAGTTTGGATGATGCATTCTCCAATTTTCAAGTGATAGTTCTTGAACCTTCAGGACCTCTGAAACTTTATCACTGTTGGCTAGAACATCCTTGACCATTTGCATTTGATCAAATGCCTCACTCATGCTATCCATAGGAGGCAACTCAATTCCAATCCCACTGAGATCTCTTCTGAACTTGTGAATCACTTCCTTGTGACCTTGACTAAGTAGGCGAGACGAGGAAGCGGCAACCGGTTGGTAAGGATCAAGCAAAACAGGGTCGGACAGAAGAGGTCGGACTCGATCGAGCGACTCGATCGAGCTGCCGATCGAGCTTGTTGTGCGAGCTCAACTGGTGAAGTGTGAATGGCCACAGTAGGTGCATGCACTTCTGGTTGATCAATCTGGACTCCAGGAGCCTCAGCAGCAACAATCTCTTCATCATTCAGCAGTAAACAAAAATCTTCAATGACCCTTTCTTGATCCTCTTCTTCAACAAGTCCTTCTTGAGTGAAGATGACCTTGCACTGTTCCTTGGGGTTCTGAATAGCTTTACCAGGTAGTTGTCCTTGCTTTGTAGCAGCAGCAACAGAAGAAGCATGATTCTCCAGAGAGTAAACCCTTGTGTTGAGATTCTCGATCTTGGAGTTTATTTCAGCTAGCTTCTTGCTTGTGTCCACTACCCATCAGCTTGCCCTTGAAGTAGTTGCTTTAGCATTGCCTTGAGCTCATTCTCTTGTAGGTGCAGGCTGGGGTGGTTGGTGGGGAAAGCCTGGTGGATATTCATTTGTTGTCCAGGGAAAGTGCCTTGGGGTCCTTGGTAATTGTTCTTTTGACCATACCCATGTTGTGGCTTGACTCGATCGAGCTGCTTGTTGTTGAGGATAGACTTGGTCCTGAGGGTTAGCAACATCAGTGTTGCGGTATGACATGGCAGGGTTGGACTTGTAATTATAGTATCCTTTGTTGTAACCTCCTTGCCCATTGCTCATGTAGCACACCTCAGCAAATTGTGTATCCTCCCCTTCTTGGACTGGTTCCATCTCCTCAGCAGACACAAAGTTGACTTTCTTCATTGTGGACTGAGCTAGGATCAGCTTATCCAACTTCTCATTCAATGCCTTAACATCTTTTCTCAACTTTTCGTCTGACTCGATCGAGTGGTGGGTCGAGCTCCGTTGGTGCGATCATACTCTTCTCCATAGCTTCCATTGGAGTTAGCTATGTTCTCCACAAGTTGCCAGCCATCATCTACATCCTGGTTGAGGAAGTTCCCATTGCTAGCTGTGTCTAGCATCTCCCTATACCTAGGCAAGCATCCTCTATAAAGAGTGGAGAGTAGTGATTCATTGTTGAATCCATGGTGTGGGCACTGACTTGTGTAGCCTTTGAACCTCTCCCAAGCCTCTGCGAATGTCTCATTGTTTCGCTGGATGAAGCTGGATATCTCCTCTAAGCTTGGCTGTGCGACCGGTGGAGAAAAACTTAGCAAGAAAGGCCTTCTTGCATTCATCCCAAGTGGTGATTGTGCCATGGGGCAAGCTCTTCTCCCATTGGTGAGCTTTGTCAGCTAGAGACATAGGAAAGAGTCTCAGCTTGATGGCATCTTCAGAGACACCATTGATCTTTGTCAAATCACAAAGCCTATCAAACTCATCAAGGTGGTCAATGGGGTCTTCACTTGGCAATCCATGGAACATCTTGTTCTGAACAAGGTTGATCATTCCCAGCTTGATCTCAAAGTTGTGGTTCTGCACTGGTGGTGGAACAATCCCTTGTCTCTGTTGGTGGCGGTTTGGAGCATCTCCTTGACCAATCGGTCGAGTTTGCCTAGCTCGACCGAGTCCATTGCCCAAAGGGTTTCCATTCCCCTCTGGTACATCCATTGTATCAGCAACAAGCACCTCAGGTTCCTCTTGTACCCTCTGTGACCTCTGAACCCTCTTTCTACCCGTTGTAAAGTCTAGCTCGACCAAGTCCTCTGTAGACCGACTCGATCGAGTTCGCATACACCTGCAAAAAGAGACAAAAACCCAGCAGTACAATAGAACAGGGGTGGTATAGCTTGATCGTCCAAGTGTATTTGAAACTCAAATGCAACAAAATAATCCCAAATCGGCAACGGCGCCAAATTGATGATAGGATTTGTGTGTGGTGTGAAATGATATGAAATAGTGGTAAATAGATGAGGTGGTAAGATGCAAACACAAACACAGTCAACAATTCCCTTTAACCATGATAGTTGTTATAGTAAAGGGTTATCAATCCAAAATGGGGAAACTTGTCACTCTATGAGAATATGAAAAACAAGGAAGTCAAGCAAGCAGTAATAGATTATGGTAACACTAACAACCTAAAAAATGAAATGCAATGCATAAAAGTAAAAAAGCAGTAAGCAACAGCTCGACCAAGGACTCGAGTCGAGTGGAACAGAGTACCGAGCTCGATCGAGTTTAGGGTCGAGTTGAGTAAAAAGCAATAAAGGACGACTTTAACAAGCTAATGCGAGAATTAGGGTTCAAGACAGGGTTTTGCAATAGGAAGCTACACTTAATCAATCTGCTCTTAAAACTCCTTGTATCAAGGCTTCTCTTGATATTGGGCTTCTCAATGCCTAGCCAACCCTTTCCCAAGGTGGAGGCTATCAACCAAGGAATGATCTCAGAAACAGGGGGTTAGCCAGTGAGAATCAAGACCTTGGAGGCCATAGGATCATTGCCCAAACTAATCCATCCAACCCCTTAGACCTCATTTCGAGAGCAAGAGTTATTGGAGCTCTTAGTGGATCTTTTCCAGCGATTTCCATCACTTCCATGTGGAGAATCGCCTAATGACATACAAGCCAGGGGTAGTGGTCATGTAGCCTTAAGATTATCCAAAAGAGAGAGAATCTAGATTAAGACCATAAGCAAGAAGGATTAAGCATATGAAACCCTAATCTATCCCATCTCAAACCCTAATGGGTAACTACTCACTACACATGAATGTAAACACAAGCAAATGCAATGAAAGAGACATCATAAGAAAGAGGAGATGAAGATAAACAACTTTTATTGAAATAAGCAAGTGCAAATACAAAGAGATTATCCAGGATCTAGGATTCAAGAAGCAAGAGCTTCAAGAACACAAAGATGGGATTAGAGCTCTAAAAAGTAAAAGACAATAATTAAAAGAAACTAAAACAAAAGTAATCTAAAGCTTGGTGGTTTTTTCGTGGCTTAGCCTTTAAATACAAGAGGATTAGGTTTAGGGTCAAAGGAAAGTCAAGGGGGAAGCAACATTTTTCGGGTTTGACTTTGACTTCTCAGCTCGATCGAGTTGAAGCTTGGCCGGTCGAGTTGAGGAACTCGACCGGTTGGTCGAGTAGATGGTCGAGCTGGTCTTCAAGATGGCTTCCTCCTTCTTCCTTTGCGTATCCAGTTGAGCTGCGTCCATGCCAAGTCCTCCATGCTCCTCACGTCCCATATGCTCCAGAATGCTCCAAAAGACCTATTTCAAAGGACCAAACATGCATATGTATGCAAATGCAACCTAAAACTACATGAATGCATAAGAAGAGAAAAGGAACAAGATATGATGCTAATGGATGCTAAAACTATGCAAAAGATGCATAAAAGATGTACTAAAACTATGTAAAATGCAAGTACATCAAAGCTCAATCCTACTTCCAACCTTTGACGAGTATGGAGCTGAAGAGGAGACTGATGGTGCACCTAATCTCTTTCACAAGATAAGAATCTTTACACCAAAAGATTCGGAGCTTAAAGGTGACCAATCATTGAAGAGAAGCTTGAGAGAACAATGAAGCTTTTCCCCAAGGCATTGGTTTTCAAAGATGATGTGAGAGATGATCACGGCGACAACACCACCACAAGAGTCCACTGAACCGGAGAATGGAGAAGCTAAAGGGATCCCCCCTTCAGCCACTCTTCACCACGATTAAAGAAAGAGAAGGAGTCAAGCTAAATGACTTAAAACAAAAGCGCTTTATGGGAGGCAACCCATATGGTTTTTAACTATCTATTTCTATTTTGCAGGAGTTTTTCAAAAATCAAACAAAAATACAAAAATATTTTCTTAGGATGAAGACCCAAAGGAGACCAAACAATGAAAGTGTCCCACCCAATGAGCCCACCCTTGTACAAGGCGTTTCTTCTTCAAAAGGTAAGTAAATTCTCACCTTAGTATTCATTCATAATCACTCTGATCTTAACAATAATCGTTTAAACCATTGCACTTTATACATATATTCATGGTTTAATGATTTACATTTGATGTTATTGGAAATGAATACATAATCACTTGTCAAAACTCATTTCACTCACTGAAATTACAAGAGATTGAACTATAGTTTGAAATTTGGATCATTGACCAAGACCAAATAAGAATTTATAGTTTGTACTTAATCTCTTGGATTGTGAACTTCAAGTTGGTCACTTGAGGATCTCAATCAGAAACCATCTAATCATGATTTCAAGTGTTTTGCAAGGAGTTAACTATTTGACAGGAAGGAGAATGGAGAAAACCTATAACCACCTCAAAACCAACATGCATATGGCGGCCAAAGGGAGGTTAAAGGAGATACACAGGCCATCACACGAAACAAGGCGCCACCACTTGGGAATGACACAGGAGGGTTAAAACAATTCGGTCGAAGAAAATCTCAATTGGCCCGAGTGGATTTGAAGAAATTCAATCCGGCACATCTCTCCAAGGAGAACCATTCACGGCCAACTCCTAAACGGCGTGACCGAAGTCCACCAAACTTCACAGGCGACCATAAAATCACATTTTGGTCGGCAAATCCAAAAGATAGGACGGAGAAATCATCACGGTTCATGAGATAGACAAGGAGCCACATCGGCCGATGGCGCAAGCAATATGGCCGACAAACCAAATCACGGCATAGGCGCGCCAACCGGTTGGAAAACTCTTCCTTGAGCTTAACTAACACTTTTATGCAGGAAGAAACGAAAAGGAACGAGCCAAACTTCAATGGCCAAGGAAACTCCTTCCCGGAGCCGATTGACCATTTTGTGAAGGAAGTCTCAATCCCCTCGTTCAAATGCTCCAAACTTCACCAGAGGCCATAAAATACCAGGTTGGTCGATGAAATTTCAATATAGGTCATGAAATTTTAACGGTTTGTTCTGTAGTTCACAGCACTACATTTTGGCCGACCGAATATACCAATCTCGGCCAAAACACAAACCGGCGGAAACCAAGGCCTGAAATTCAAAACTCACCGACCAATATTGCCTAAAGAAGTGTAAATGACCCAAACCGGAACCTGATCTTCATTATAAATTGGTCGACATTTGGTAACATCATCCTAAACCTTTTTCTTTTCAATTTTTCATTTGAACTTCATGTTATACCTCTCTTAATCTGATTTGCTTTCACCGGGACGGTGCAAGTTAAGTCTGGGGGGATTACTAACAATGTTTGTTCATTTTGGCATTTTCATTTGCATTTTTCCCTTTTATGAGTCGTTTTTATTGAGTCAAAATTTTTGTCGAGAATCATGACCTTATCTTGGATCTAACCATGTTGTACTAATGTTTAAGTGACCATTGAGCAGTTCTTGGCAATACATCTTACCACAGGTGCACTATGAGTTGATCGATCTACCAAAAACGCCTACATCTCTAAAGACTTGAGAAGGATCCATCTTTGACTCCGCCCTTAATGAACTTAATCTTCTCAGCTAGGGGCTTGGCATACAAATGGCATGATTCCTCATCCTCTCCATCAAATGAAAAAGTCTTAGTGAGTTCGTGCTTCCCTCTCTCTCCCCTTCAAATTTAAAGAAAAAGCGTAAGGTCCAAGTAACCGGGGATTCGGTGGCAAACACCATCAATACTCGCGTCTATGGAAGGCCTATGGATCCAAGCAACCGGGGATTCGGTGGCAAACACCATCAATACTCGCGTCTGTGGAAGATCCAAGCAAAACCTCTATAATAAAGAGAAGGAGTTGAATAAAAAAATACTTGCTACCCTAAAAAAGGGATGAATCAACTGAAGAAGTGAGAAGAGAGAGAGGAGAAACATGGAGTAAAAAGACAAGTGCCAAACAAGGGGATGAGTAAGAGTCTAAAAGCCGGCTGATCGATACTCCCTAGTTGAGACCACACCTTTAGAAATGAAAGGAGTCAAGGGTGGCGAATTGGATTGTCCTAAGGAGAGGTGGACCGCTTTGGAAAATCGCAAAACTCATGGTATGTACTTTGTTCTTAATTCAAAATTTGCCAATGCTGTTTCATGTGGATTACTAAAGCATAAGTCAATTTGGATTTCCAAAAGATTTGAGAGTTCTCACGTTTTCAAACCTCTTTTCCTGCTTAGTTTGCTTGGGGACAAGCAAAAGGCTAAGTCTGGGGGAGTTGATATCACCATATTTTACATGATTTTACTATATAATATTTATGTTTTCAAACGGTTTTTGCAAGATTCTTTGCCTTTAGAGGTAGTTTTCTTGTATTTGTGGGATTTGAAGTCTTTGTAGGTGAAACCATCAAAAAGGATGCAAAAAGGAGTAAAAGAGCCTCAAACCAAGATCCATGCAAGTTTCCAAGTCAAGAACATCATTTTATCTCCAAGTGTTAGTTCTCGCTAGCGCGCAGAACGAAGCTTCGGAAGTTTGGCCGCGCGCGGAGGAGTTCCCGACGTCCAAAAGTTACGATCTTGATATGGAAAGATAGATACTTGAGTCATGCATCACGTCGAAGTGGAATGAAGCCATTTGGATCAACTATGAGGCCGGAACTTATTTTCTACCGAGACATGTCCGGTAAGCGAGCAAACGAAGCCCATGGAGGATTTGGAGTGTCTAATGGCCCGAGCAGCAGCGCCAAAGGCCTTGATCGAATAGAGAAGAGGCCTGGCTAATGTTTGGAGCTTTCCTTGGTACAATGTCGGCCCATACACGACGTGGAGAAGAAGGCTCGGCTCATGGGAAACTTTCCTTTTCCGGCATGAAGAAAACCCTACGACTTCGCCCATATATACATGTTTTTAGCCGCTGAAGAAGAGAGTCGAGCGTGTGAGTTTGTGAGAAGAGAGTCCAGAGAAGAAGCCGCCAAGAGAGAAGCCCTAGGAGATCGTCCAAGAAGAAGGAGGCGCCGCTCAACTCTTGTTCTTTCTTGTTTTCATTGTTTCCATTTCTTTGTACTTGATCTTAAGAGTTTCAAGGGAGAATCCGACTTTGTTCATCAATAGAGAAGCTTTCTTCATCCCTTTATCTCTTTTAATACTTGCATAATGCTTTCAATCATGCTTTGCTTGCTTGTTTGCATCATGGCCGAGTAGATCTCTTAGTTAGGCCGAGGAGATCTATGGTGGCCGTGATGATTTGATTGTGTTGCAACTTATTGGGATTTATCTTATGGATCTTCACCTTACTTGAACTTAATGCATGATTACTCTACCGTACATCTAGTAATCTGATCTTAGAGAAATAGAACCACGACAGTGCTGAATCATAGTGGTTGGAGCCACGACAGTGGAAAGACCATACACTAGTGATTCATGTTCAAGACGGCTCTACACAAATCCCATGCAACTATCTTTTCATCATTGCTCCATATGATTGTCCTTTGCCTAACTCTTGTTTTAAATTGTTTACAACCTCACTCATATTTCCTTTGTTTTGCTTTCTTATTCTAGGACCAAAACCATCCAATATGACGAGCTAGCTACAAACCAATCTCACAAGGTGTTAAGCGAGAACACTTCCTCCTTGTGTTCGACCCCGACTACAACGCGGCTGTGCACTTGCAGCTCAACTAGTTGGGTTTATAAATTGTGAAAATTTGAGGCAATCTAAACCCGCCATCACTTCTCCACAACGCCTGGTTCTCCATGGCAGAATGGTATAGCTGAAAGGTGGAATCGTACTTATTTGGAAATGGTTATATCTATGATGAGTCATGCTAACTTACCTAAATCTTTGTGGATGGACGCATTACGTATTGCAGTCTATATCTTGAACATGGTTCCTAGCAAAGAAGTTCCTAAGACTCCTTTTGAACTGTGGAAAGGCTGGAAACCTAGTCTGAAATACCTCCAAATTTGGCGATGTCCAGCTGAAGCAAGAATATACAATCTACATGAAAAGAAATTAGACTCCAAAACAATTAGTGGTTTCTTTATTGGTTACCCTGAGAAGTCAAAAG